CTTGAGCCCAGGAGTTGGAGGTTGCTGTGAGCTGTGATGCCATAGCACTCTACCCAGGGGGACAGCTTGTCTCAAAAAAAAAAAAAAAATAGAGCCCATGGCCATCCCTTCTGCAGGCCCCTGTTCTCCCAAGCTGAGTTGTGTCCCCTGGTTGAGCCAACCTTGAGGATCTGTGGGCTGAAGGTTCCCTGCCAAGGCCTCGGTAGTATGTACCAGCCTGCATGGTAAGAGACATGGAGCCTGCAGGAGGTGGCCCAGAGAGGTGGTGCAGCCATCAGGGTCACAAAAGCAAGGCTGGGATGGCACCCAGGGCTAAGTCTGAGATTACTGAGACTATTCACTGCTCCTTTCCCAAGCTTTGGGGAACACCTGAGAAGCTATCTGAAGTTGGCCTCGTGCCAGCAACTCTGGGTACACCCAGAAGCCAGGGCATCCGGTTTCTTCAAGCTCCCAGTGGAATGTCACAGGCAGCTGAGGTTGAGAACTGCCAGGAGAGGAGACCACAAATCTCAGGACACACTCCACCAAGGGACCAGCTCCTGGCGGGATCCCTGGACTCTTATGTCTGGCAGCTCTGGCCTATCACCCTTGGGGCTGGAGGCTTCTTCCTATGGTCATTGACGACTTGGTCAGTCCATCCTCTCCTGTCACTCTTTGTGTCACTCAGCCAGCATCACAGGACCTATCAGTCTATCATCAGACATGGATTAAGTGCTGCTCAGTGTAGGGCCCAGTTCCAAGGGCCTGTGAGGAGGCTACCAGGGAACCAGAGGGAGCTGTGTGTTCCATCTGGGCAGGGTCACAAGCCTGGTCCAGGTGAAAGTGACACATGTTGTTAATTAGCAACATAGGGCCCAAGTGTGACCTCGGAACCAGCAGCATCAGTGTCACCTGGGAAAAGGTCAGAAGTGCAGACCCTCAAGCCCCACCTTGGCCTTCGGAATCAGCCATGCTGATAGCTGCTTGAAGGAGGCACCCTTTTCACTGGGACATCAAGGCATTTTTCTTGTCCCCTTCATGCCCCTTCAGCAGATACTCCCTGAGAGCCTGTCAAGTTGTGCATCACTGGGTGTGCCGTAAGAGCTGTGAGGGAGAAGACTAGCTTGAGGACCTTGAGGAGGTCACCAACTCTGGGCCTCAGTTTGTTCATCCGAGACATAGGGAGGGCACTGTTCTCCTCTGAGTCATGAAGATTAAATGGACAATTACTTAGCAAACTGATGAGTGCCTAGAGGTACAGTGAGGCTACTAGGTGGCCATGCCTGACAAAGCCACCTGGAAGAAGCTCGGCGCCTGTGGCTAAGGCGCCAGCCACATACACCTAAGGTGGCAGTTCGAATCCAGCCCGGGCCCACCAAAACAACAATGATGGCTGCAACCAAAAAATAGCTGGGCGTTGTGGCCGGTGCCTGTGGTCCCAGCTACTTGGGAGGCGGAGGCAG